ATAACCACGACCACGACCATTAAATCCACCTCTGCCTCTGCCACGGCTTCCATTCTCTGGAAAATTTCCTTTCACTTGAAAAGCTTTCTCTTCTGCCTTTTCAGAACTCTTGCTAATCCGATCTTCATGAGCTATCAAGGAACTCATCATCTCATCAAACGTGTAAGTGCTCAGATCATTAGCCTCAATAATTGCAGGAACAATATACTCAAACCTTGGTGARAAACTCCTCAAAACCTTGCTCACAATGCTCTCGTTGCTYAGAWATTCACCATAAGARTTCATTTGATTCACAATTGCAGAAACTCTAGCCAAATACTCTTGAACAGATTCCTTCTCCTTCATAGAAAGAGTTTCAAAATTTTGACGCAAAGTTTATAACTTCACAATGATTACCTTCTGAGCACCCATGTATTCTTGCTTCAAGATCTCCCATGCTTCATGAGCTGTGTTAACTGCCGAAATTCTGGACAAAATATCCTCATCCAGTGCCGATTGGATGAAGAACAAAGCCTTTGCATCTTTCTTACYTTTRTCRCGTAGWGGTTGATCGGGTTCCTCCGGATTCGGATCTTCAAAACCAGTCTCCACCAAATCCCATAGCTCCTGCGATCGYAACATCGTCTTCATTTTGAGACTCCACAAATGATACTTCTCTCCTTTGAAAATTGGAACAAGGGCCTGCATATTTGTGCCGTTGTTCGACATCGTCGTCTTTTTCAAGAGGATTGAAACCCAGAATTTGCTCTGATACCACAATTGTTGGAAATAATCGATTGAGAGGAAGAGAGATTAAACTGGAAACTGCAATTTCTATTAAGATGCTTAAAAGATTCAAGTACAGAAACATAAATATAAGGAAGAAGAAGATAACTACCCAATAACCCACGATAAGAAAATCCCCAAATTACAATAACCTAATTGATTGAAACTACCCACGTTTSCTAAACCACTAAACCAATAACCCATTTCCTAAACCATAAACTTCCGAAAGACTAGCTTTGACTTTGAATCAATCAACAGAATGTTGTCAAAAGCTTTCGAGTACATAATCAAAAACCAAGGAATTACCACAGAAGAGAACTATCCTTACCAAGCATCACAACAAACATGTGCTTCAACCACCGAATCAACGAATTCTGTTGCTGCTACGATCAACGGATATGATAGGGTTCCTCAAGATGACGAGGAAGCATTGCTAAAAGCGGTGTCTCAACAGCCTGTTTCCGTGGCGATAGAAGGGTTAGGGGATGCCTTCAAACACTACTCAGGCGGGATATTCGACGGAGAGTGTGGGACGAATCTGAGTCATGCGGTCGCAATTGTTGGTTACGGGACGAGCAAAGAAGGGACTAAGGGTATGACTGGTACAAATATTAGAAGAAATGAGAAGAAAAATCTGAAGAAAAGAAAAGTTACATCAGGAGAAAAATTAATTCTATCAAGTATTTGTAGGAGGAAGAATTCCTCTACTGTAGTTACTTTTTCATATTTTCAGCAGAATTTTTTTTCTATTCATTTCTTTTCGATTGGCCCATGTAGAGTAAATAAAATTTTTCTCTCTTTTTTTTTCTTCTGTGAGTGCAAAACAGTCACACCCTAAGTATTGGTTGGTGAAGAACTCATGGGGAGAATCTTGGGGAGAAAATGGTTGCATGAGAATTAAGAGAGACGTGGATGATCCCCAAGGAATGTGTGGTTTGGCCAAACTTGCTTTCTATCCGCTAGCTTGAATGCTTATTTGTTGTTCGAATATATGTAAGTGGGTTTGTTTCGCAGTAATAAACAACTCCCAGATCAATAATTGACCATTTGCAGTCATATATATATTTTAAAAGTTATGTTGGCGGAAGTATGTATTACGTTGTTGTAATAATATTTAAAGTTCTTATGGTTATGGAGCTAGAACTATTTACAAATGACAGTAGTATAGACCAGCATTTCTACACGCATTAACTTTTCTCCAAGTGAATTGAATGTTGATAATTACGCTTATGTAAAAATGTTAATAAAAATGTAAAGTAAACTTAAGAAATATGTTTGGTCTTCTTTTTTCTTGCATCAAATACGTTTATAAAAAAAACATTTATTGATCGGACAAGTTGTAGTACGCTTGGCACCTCTACCAAAACATATGATGTTAGAACTTATCTCTATTTTTATTTCATTAGAACTTTGAGTCGTAAAAAGAGAATAATTGCTGCTTGATTGTATTTTTGTCTCTCTTTTGATCGTTTTGATGTGATTTTTATCTTTCACATTGACTCATTGGTGAAGTGAATTTTGTTTTTCTCATTGTGATTACAGTGTGGAAGGAATAATAAAAATAAAAATAAAGAGTTTTTATGGGTTCACAATTTGTGATGGAGTAGGTTTTTCTTTCAAAAGTCTTGGTTAATAGCGTTACTTTCTCTAGTAGAATTTTTTTTAATTTTCTAATTGTTTTTTTATGTGTTATTAAGTTTTTTTGGTGTAGTATATTGTTGGAATTTAATTTAATAATTGCACAATTTTTTTTTATGTGCTATTAAGTTTGTTTGGTGTAGTATATTGTTAGGTTTAATAAATAAAAAATATATTTTTCAAACTGTTTAGAATTTTACAATAATACATTTAATTTGGAGTCACATTTTTTATGGGTACCAAAAAAAAGAAAGAAGACAATGGCTAATATATATTATAACTTATTGAAATTAATTAACATTAGAATTAACTATTAAATTGTTGGAATTGATTGTCAAAGTTATTAGAAAGAGAAAAATATATATAAATTTATATTTTTCTCTTAAATAAATAAATTAAAAAAGACACATGTTAAAAGAGTATGTGACACATGTCAACATCTCAAAACTTTGGTTTGGAAAAATCTTACTATATTATATAAGATAATACTCCAAGTTGTGGAGTATAATAAATTTTTGAGTCCGCTTTGTGACTTTATGATCGGGGGAGCACGCTAGAAATTAAACCAAAAGAAAAAGGTGTTAAGAACATCTAAAATATACAAATATCAACTCCCACATGCTTGTCGACAAGGTATTATTTTGCTTGTCGTTCAGCAAATAAGAAAAAATAAACCAAAGAAGAGTGACGAACACGATGTTGAAGGAGCAAAAGAGATAAAATCGCTAAGGACTTTAGAAAGACTAACCGTTCATACAACTTGATTCGCGGATCGAGAGTTTCTTGAAAATATTGGTTTGTTGGGGGACTTAGATGCC